GGTGTAGTGGAGGGTTTCCCTGCCCATGGCAGGGAGGTTGGAACTAGATGATCTTTGAGGTCCCTTCCAACTCTAACCATTTTATGATTCTGTGAGAAAGAGATGCCTCCCCCCCTACCTGCTTGTGATATCTTCTACTGTTATTTGCTCATAATGCAGGTCCCTTCATTCTCATCTATAAACTGCTCTTAGAGCTAGCGGTCATCAGTTCTCAGGAGACTGAGAATTCAAAAAACCAAATTCATTCTGACAAAAGAGAATTCTTGCCTGTATATGTACTTAACAGTGCCTTTGGAAGAAGTGTTTTTGATTTCAAAAGGAATTTTCAGGCAGATTTATCTTAGTTGTGTTTTAATTCTTATAGAGTGAGCTTTGGTAGTTGTGTACTGCGTTCAGTTGTGTTCAGTTGTCATCAGAAAATCATTGTACAATTGGTTATTTCCCATGGTCGCTATTGAAAAGATTTGTGAATTTGAGATGGATAAAATTCACATGGCTCTCCTTGCATGTGAACTCTGATTAGTCTTTGATAGCTTCTTTGGGTGGGTGGTGGCTTTCTTCTGTGTGGTGTTAATTCAGTTGTTTAAAGGTAAATGACTTCCCGGTAAGGACAGTAGCTTTCCCATGTCACATATGAAGTTACTCATAGGATTATACCACAGGTTTTTCTGGTTCTTCATTTCTGTTTACGTAAGAAGATTGTTCATCCTTTAGTCTTTGGACCACAAGGGTTTCAAGTTTTGTAGAGGCTTTTGTAGATAATCAACCAAGATCTTTTATCTTGGCAGGCATATGTTTCTGCATGTCCTGGAGGAGGGGAAAAAAAAAACTCCTCTGTCATATATTATGAAGCTATATATGGAATAAATGTGTAACTGTTGGTTGCCAGTTGTGGAAAATGAGGGGACAATTTTTCAACAGCTTTTCAGGTTAAAAAATAAACAAACAACCCTTATTGTTTTGGGGTTTTTTTCCTTCCACAAAACTAATACAAATAAGGATGAATTTAAAGCTGATGTGAGTAGGTCTGTTGGTTTTATGTTGCACAGTCAAATATTAAGGAAATTGGTTGGACTGAAAGTTGTAAATAGATATCGTGCTCCATTTGCATTTGATATTGTTAGCAGTTAAGATATTTGCATTCATACTTAAATTATAAGCAGCAATTATATCAGAAGGTTAATGCAAAAATGAAACTGCAGATTGTGTGACTATGTTCCCGTAAAGAAAAAGGAGTAAGATGGGGCTTTTGGATTTGAGACAGAAGGGAAGGCACCGATGACTTGTGGAACTTCCTCCGATACAGTAGGATGTACTTGACAATCTTTATGTGTACATAGTACTACAGTTATGTGCTATGTACATTCTTTTCTCTCTTGATTGATTATTAGCACTTTGAATCTTCTATTTTGTTATTAAAACCATTCCTAATTTTAAGACAAATCACATTTGTCTTTTCAAGTGGATGGACATCTTTTTAAAAAGGAGGACAAGGAAAAAAAAAGTTTGTAATTAAATAATCTTTTCCAGATGAAGGGAATGAGACAGAGATTCAGCCACAGCAGAACAGTCAGCTGATATGGAAACAAGGGCGACAGCTGCTAAGACAGTAAGTGTTGAAAAAAAGGACTCAAATAACGAATGCAAGGAAAAGAATCTGGTAATGAAATGTGATGATGGTGGTATTTGATTATTTTTTTTTTCCTGTTGGATTTTCTTTCAAAAGTTAGTGTGTGTGATGAATTTAATTCAGATTCTACCCTACTTTTCCAAAATTTTTGAAAAATTTTAATGTTTCAGAACTTCAGATGAGAAGTGTCAAATCACAAACACCTAATCTCATTTGCTTTTCTTTCACTGAGTATAATAAAACAATCTGCTTGGGAAAACAGTGGGCCATGATACTTTACAGTTCTTTTTGCAATTAAAAACCAACACACAGAAGTAATTCTGTTAAGAGCTGTATAAAATAAAAATAACTGGTGGTGGAGAGGGATAACTTCTATTTTGGCCTGTTCTAGGTGCAAAAAAGACCAATATGCGGAAGGCTAGACTAGAAGTTTTCTAATTCTCACTTCATCTCAATGAAGCAAATGTCTGTTAATCTAAATCAGTTTTTGAATTGTGGTCGGAATGAGTTAATTTCCAAGGTATTTGGTCACATTTTTGTGTGCTTTTTTTGTTGTTGTTGATTACAGCCCTTGGTTTAAATTGAAGAGGTCTTTTAAAGACCTCTCATGAGAGTGTTTCTATCTGTTTTTTCATGCAATTGCCTCATCCCCTATGCTGATAATTAGATTCTACAGTCTTCTGATCAGCTAGCAAAACTTAGTTTCTAATTTTTTTTGGTGTATTACATAGGATTAAATGAGGGGGGAGTGAGACAGTAAGGACAGTCTGGAGCTTATGTTAAAGGACCTTATACAAAAATTGAATTTGTCTGTAGGATGGCTTGTACATGCTTTACTCTTTCAAGAGCTCAAATCTTTGCATGTATGTTGAATAAATATAAATAAAGAGGTCTTGACTTGGATCAGTGATTTTGAAGACAAGTCATTCCTTCTCAGCATAATTCATAAATAAGTGACACAGTGCTGAATGCGGTGTGTATTACTGATGGACTCTGTTTTGCATCGGTGACGTGTTTGATTTTTTTATAGTCAACAGTCAGTATTTCTCTCCTAATGTGGTTATGTAGAGGATATTGTTAAATAATTAGAGAAGAATATTCTTGCAGGAAAAGTGCATGTCCTTGATTTGTAACAGCTGTTACTGTAAAATAGCGTTTCCCCTCTTTAGAGTGCTCTAGAATATTGACCATCAGTCCGGTGCTCCTGAGAAGACAGTGCTATTAACTCCATATTCTAGAGGAAAGGAGAGAGACCAATTTTTATTTTTTTTTAAATTATTTCCCCTCTGCTCCCTGCCTCCAAAGGCAATATGGTATATTGATGAAAGAGACAACTTTAGACCTTGAGGTTTTCATACAAGCTAGTCCAGGATTCTGGCTGCCCTGCCCTTATGTGCAAGGCAAATTCATATTTTTTCAGATCCATTGCAGAATAAGAAAAAGGCAAGGCAAAGATATTATCAAACCTAGTGTGTTATAAATAACAACTCTTACTAATATTTATAGCTACAGAATTTGTTTTTATTCTCTCTGTTTTCTAGACTTCTACTAATGCATACATAAGGAATGTATCTGACACTTCTTGTAAGGCTTCATGTATAGTTTCCATGTGTTGAAGAACAAAATGACCATGTTGTATGTACATGCAACTGTGACTTTTATAATTGAAAGTGCTTTTCCATCCTTTTTAGTGAAAGAATGAATAACGTATTGTATAACCTCTGACTGCTAGGCTCTTTGATTTTTTTCTTTTTTTTTTTTTTTTTCCTTCCCCCTCAGTGACTGTAGAGGCTGGTACTGCAAGAGGCGATCCCTCTGCAGCTGGTACAGGATGATTTATAAGCATGTTTCAGTAGCACAGCACCATACTTTGCTAAGCTAAGGGGTTGAAGATGAGTTTAGGGAGAAGTTTTCATTTACTGCTTCGAGTGAGTGAGATGTGCATCGAAGATTAGCATGAGTTCTGTTCCTACAGGTATCTACAAGAAGTAGGCTACACCGACACGATATTGGATGTGAAGTCGAAACGAGTACGAGCTTTATTGGGCCTCTCAAGTGATGCTTCAGAGAAGGAAAACAGAAATCAAGAGCCAATGGTAAATGGCACAGAAGGCCAGATTAAAGAAAACGCGATGATTGGGTAAGCATCAGGATGACAATGTTATTTTTCTGCATAAATGCACTTAATGGTATTTTACTGAGAAGTTTTCAGGATTTTTCCCTCTGTTTGGAGATTAGAGCACTTTTAACTAATTTCATTTTATTATGCAATAAGTGTGGAAGGAACTCTTAAGCTTCACAGCTCAAAGCACCGTTAAGTTTTTTGGTGTGGGTTTTTATTTTTTTTCAGTTGGATGGAAGCACAAAGTCAAATGAAGCCTCTTTGAGATAGGATTGAGAAGTGGTTAGAGGTCAGCGTTGTTACAAGTGAACATTTTATTTGTATTGCTGGAAACATTACTGTATCGATTACAGGCTTTGCTCTTCTGGTCTGTGCTCACTATGGCATGATAATCTATAGGAGATACAGGATTTTTTTGACTGGATCTGAAAAACAAGTTCACATGTTGTATTCTGATTCCTGTAAGTTTTTGGGTTTCCACTAATGGATATGCATACATGAATGTGACTGAAACATAAGGTATTCGTTTCTGTCTTTCAATATTTCTAATACTATGAAAAGTAAGTCAAGGAGAGTAAAAGCTTACTTTTGCTTTTAAGTAATGTTGAGAAACATAAGAGGCTTTTTCATTTTCTTCTTTTTCATGCAGAGGTTTTTTTTTTAAAAAATAAGTTAAATCTGAAACTTAACTGTAGAAGCTTCAGTAGAACAATCTGTTTGTTCTTGTTTAAGATACTGTAGTTGTAAAACTGGAGAAATAATGAAAATGTTGCAGAATTGTTTGTCTGAACAATACATGAGGTAACCGTTCCCAATAGTTTGTGCTGCATTGGTGAGCACAGCTTTCTGCAAAGATTCTACATCTTTTTTCGTTTTCTATACTTACGTGGCAAAATTCAAGACCTTTTTTTCTTAAGGTCTAATACTATTATATGACACATCCTGTCTTTTAAAAAGCATTTGCAGAATTCCATTATACTCAGCAGATAGCTGCAGCAACTTCAGGCCAACAAGTTACATAAGGGCAGAAGTTCATTGTTATGTAGTTAAATTTAATGCTGTGAGGTGGAAAATTTAAACATATGAGAAAACCCGTGAGCAACTAAAATATATTGTGCTGCTACATAGTCAACAAGCCATGTTGTTCATGTACAGCAGCTTTGTTTTTGAAGAACAAGGAATGCTTTCTAGATTACAATAACAATTTTAGTTCAATTCGTGGTGAAGGGGTCACTTCTCAGGGAAAGTGGGTAAATAAAGCTCCTCTTCTTACACTTTAAAATTTATTTAAATGTGTTTACTTTGGTTTTAAAACAGATGGATGTATGTATAAGGTAGTTATTTGATGAATGAAATGATTGGTCAGCGGTTTTGATACAGCAGTTTTGGATACATTTGCACTTCTTCCCTGTCTGCTTGCTTAATGGGTAGATCTGATGCTAGGTTTAACACTTCGTAGTCTACCCCATAGCTGAGGGTGTTCACTGATGGAGAACAATGAGTTCCGTTCCATTATGACTGTGTGAGCTGGTCAGGCTGCATGCTTTGAGACACTGTTTTCGTCTCACTTGTGGTGCGTAAGATGGCAGTCTGTACTGCAAAGCTTAGGAGAGCGTTTTGATACATGATTTGCAAGAAGTGATTGCAGGGTTTTACAGTGGAAGGATTTCCCAGAGATCTTGTTCGACATAGTCATGTCAGTCTTCATGGGTGATTTTGAGTTTGTGGATGTCAGCCGAGATCTCCCTCACTGAGAGGAAAAAGTTGGAATTTTACTAAAATTCCTTGGTCGATCTGAGTACAGCACTAGCTTGCAATGCTGTGATTCTTCTGGGTGTTTGAAGTATGCTTTCAGACCATCTCTTTAACTTTTCCTTGCAGGAGACTTTCTGTGGCCTTCTTCCTGGCAGAGGCTGCCTGTTACTTAACAGCTGTCTCATCTTGTGCTACTAGATACTGTAAAATGTTACACCTCACTTTCTGTGGCATGTGGCACTCTTCTCCTCCTAACTGCATCATTGCTTGCCTCTGAGATTTCAAAATGCAGCTTATGGCAGATGGGAAACCAGAAACGAGATGAGATGTTATTCTCAATTAGCTCATACTTACCTGTTCCCTGCCTCATCTATTGTCAACATTACTTGAATGAGTATAGAACAACTTCTTTTTGAAGAGTATTAGCTTTGAATAGGTGACTAAGATTTAAGGCATGTGAATCTTGCTTCTGATCCCAATTGGAATTCTTACTGCAATTCTTACTGGAAAACTTAATTCAGCAGTTTTTCTACCTGGTTGGCAGAACTGGGAAAAATATAGGTGTCTCAACTAAATTCTGGCTCACAGTCGAAGCAGGGGAACTTTTTGAAGCAACCTCACCAGTGCTAGGCCACTTACCAGGAAGGCAAACAGTATGGCAGTTCTTTTAGTAGCCCCTTGTTATTCCCAGCATGCATGTGAAGTGAGAAGAGGATTGAGGCCACAGCAAGCTTGTATTGTTGGAAGGAGTGTGATGATCAAGTGCCTGCATTTTGGTAGTGGTAGAGGAGGAAAGTAATGGTGAGAGATCAGAACAACAAGAAACAACCTAAAACCTTAGTGCAACCCCTGGAATTTTCATGGAATCATAGAATGGTTTGGGTTGGAAGGGACCTCAAAGATAATCTAGTTCCAACCCCCTGCCATAGGCAGGAACACCTTCCCCTAGATCAGGTTGTTCAAGGTCTCATCCAACCTGGCCTTGAACGTTTCCAGGGATGGGGCATCCACAGCTTCTCTGGGCAACCTGTTCCAGTGCCTCACCACCCTCTGAGTGAAAAATTTCTTCCTTATATCTAATCTAAATCTGCCTTCTTTCAGTTTAAATCCATTAGCCCTTGTCCTGTCACTACATGCCCTTGCAAAAAGTCCCTCTCCAGCTTTCCTGTAGGCCCCCTTTAAGGTACTGGAAGACTGCTATAAGATCACCCCAGAGCCATCTCTTCTCCAGGCTGAACAACCTCAACTCTCTCAGCCTGTCTTCATAGCAGAGGTGCTACAGCCCTTGGATCATCCTCATGGCCCTCCTCTGGACTCGCTGAAACAGCTCCATGTCCTTCTTGTGTTGGGGACTCCAGAGCTGAATGCAGTACTCCAGGTGGGATCTCACGAGAGCAGAGTAGAGGGGCAGAATCACCTCCCTTGACCTGCTGACCATGCTGCTTTGAATGCAGCTCAGGATATAGTTGGCTTTCTGGACTGCCAGTGCACATTCCCGGCTCATGTTGAGCTTCTTATCAACCAGCAGTCTCAAGTCCTTTTCCACAGGGCTGCTCTCAATTCATTCTCCACCCAGCTTGTACTTGTGCTTGGGATTGCCACATGCAGGACCTTGTTCTTGGCCTTGTTAAACTTCATGAAGTTTGCATGGGCCCACCTCTCCAGCCTGTCAAGGTCCCTCTGGATGGCATCCCTTCCCTCCAGTGTGTACACCACACCACACAGCAAGGTTGCTGAGGGTGCACTCAATCCCACTGTCCATGTTGCCAACAAAGATGTTAAACAGCACTGGCCCCAATATTGACCCCTGAGGAACACCACTCGTCACTGGCCTTCAGTTGGACATTGAGCCATTGACCGCAACTCTTTGAGCATAACCATCCAGTCAATCCCTTATCCACTGTGTAGCGTATCCATCAAATCCATGTCTCTCCAATTTAGATACAAGGATGTTGTGTGGGACAGTGTCAAATGCTTTGCATGAGTCCAGGTAGATGATGTCGGTTGCTCTTCCCTTATCCACAAACACTGTAACCCCATCGTAAAAGGCCACCAAATTTGCCAGGTGGGATTTGCCCTTAGTGAAGCCATGTTGGCTGTCACCAATTACCTCCTTTTTTGCCCTGTACCTTAATATAGTTTCCAGGGGATCTGCTGCATGATCCTGCTGGCTACGGACATGAGACTGACTAGCCTGTAGTTCCCTGGGTCTTCTTTTTTCCCTTTTTGGAAGTGGGGGCTATGTTTTCCCTTTTCCAGTCAGTGGGAACTTCACCAGACTGCCACAACTTCTCAAATATGATGGATCGTGGCTTAGCAACTAAATCTGCCAGTTGTCTCAGGACCCACAGATGCATCTCATCAAGCCCCATGGACTTGTGCACCTTCAGGTTCCTTAAATGGTCTCAAACTTGATATTCTATAGTAGACAGTTCTTCATTCTCCCAATTTCTGCCCTTTGCCTTCTGTGACTTGGGTGATATAACTAGAGCACTTGCCAGTGACCACTGAGGCAAAAAAGTAATTGCTTTCTCCATATCCCAGGTAACCAGGTCTCCCATTTCCTTCTGGAAAGGGCTCATGTTTTTCCTAGTCCTCCTTTGATCACTGACGCACCTATAGAAGCTTTTTTTGTTACCCTTGATGTCCCTGTCCTGATTTAATTCTGTCAGGGCTTTAGCTTTCCTAACCTGACCCCTGATTGCTTGGATGATTTCTCTGTATTCCTCCCAGGCTACCTGTCCTTGCTTCCACCTTTTGTAGGTTTCCTCTTTGTGTTTGAATTAGTCCAGGAGCTCTTTGTTCATCCATGCAGGCCTCCTGGTACTTTTGCTCAACTTTCTCTTTGTTAAGGTACAACGAAGAGGAAGGTTAAGGACATATGTGTGTGTTTGCCAGGACTGTCAGACATTGGGACCGTTGCAAAGTAGTGTGTGGGTGGAAGATGTTCTGTGGCTGTATGGATGCAGTGAAACTCGTTGAAGAAGAAAGCTTTGTTATCACCACAGAAGCCTATGAACTGCTCAGGCCAATGCAGTTTGGCAAATTTTGTGGTTTAAAACATGTAATGAACATTGATGTCAGATATCTGCTAGCATGTCCGACGCTAGCGGTCAACCTTAAGATGGTTTAGTTACATTTGAAGAGCGGAGTGCTGGACAAAATTTAATGTGTGGAAATGAATCTAGTCTAACAAGGAATGCCTCTGTTAAAGTGAGAAAACTCAACTCACAGAACATTCAATTTGTTTGATCCTGCAAGAA